TGATACCCGGAGGAAGAAATCAATGATAAAAACTCACCAGGCATAAGTTCGCCGCTTTAAAGCATAACGCTATTTTCTGCAAAAGGTTTTCGAGTAAAATAAACTTATTGTGCCGAAATGTTGCAGTTTGTTGCCGTAATTTTTTGCGATTTGTTTTAATTTATCTCCCTTCTACATTTTTGGCGCATATTCGACTTTGAACTTACTGTACTGTGGCTTTAGAAGTGGATTCATGAACTTCTGTTGGGAAATTGTAGGCTGTATCATTTTCATCCTTTATGGTGTTTCAGAAAGCGTTAAATGAATACATGGCTGTGTGGTATACGTGCGTTTATCCAGTAATCAGGGCACTAACACTGTTGGGTGCACTACGGATGCAGCAGATGGCCTGAAAGAAAAACAGGAAGTCGGAGAACCAGAAGAATCTACCGAACGGAACGTGTTTTCTAAAAGAACAGTACGCGAAGCGTCGGCTGTCCAGCGTAGTTTTGCTTTTGGAGACAAAGGAACCACCTTTAAGCCACTTCTTATTATAGTGATCACAACCATAAGATCTGTACGTTTTTAGACGATCTGATTTCAGTTAATCAACGGCTAACCGAAAACGAGCTGGGCATCCGAAGGGCCATGCTGAAGCATGAAACGCCGTCATGCGAGGTGAGGCAGTTTGTGGCCGATGAATTGGGCGAGATTCTTACAGCTCAGGATACATACAACTACCACCGAAACTGTCGACTAGTTCCGCTGAGTAGGTTCAGCAAACTTAGGTTTTATCTTGGCAGATGATATGCTTTCGGTCCTGGCAAAACCTCGAATGACCGGTCGGGTGCCTGTGCTGCAGTCAGAGGAAGGTCACTATGGCCACATATGTAACGGCTATCTGCTTTCTGAGTTTGAGTCACGCGTGCCAATCCAGGAAAACGACCAAGAAATCCGAATTCTGGAATCACGGTACTGTTGCAAACACAATAATATACATATTCAACAAACCTCAACGGATTCTCCTTTGCAGATACTGTAGGGTTACCAAAATAAGGTGGTACAATTACCAGCCTGAGGATAAAGCGCAGATCACTACGCCTCAAAATCGATATCGTCACAACCAAACAGATATCGACGGCGAGCAACCGCAAAATCACAATGTCCGACCAAAGTCCGTAAGAGTTATAAAAATGGTTCAGTAAAACAAGAAGGTTTCAGTTCATCTGGTCAAGGGGAAATAATATGGGGATTGGCTGTCACTTGGGGTTGGAAACGGGAGCACACTGTTGGCAAGCTGTCTTCTACAACATATGCCTCCCCGGATGACAGTAGATAGCGTTGTTTCAACAGTTCCCAGACGTAGTAACTGTCAACGAACCGCATGCGACAAAGCTATTTGGGTAAGTTTTTAAAACACCCAGTATCCGAGTTATAGGTACAAGCTTATACTTCCCTGGCATCGGAAGGCATGGGTACCAGACATCGATGATTTTTTCTTTCGTGGATAGTGATCGGTTTGCTTCAATGCGGAAACTATTTGGCTTACTTAGGGTTATGGTTGGAAGGCACTGTCGGGTTGAGGGTAACGTATGGCGGCAAAACGCCAGCAGCAAGTTTCATGTTGTGCTATCATCATATTAGAAAGGATGTATGTACGTATCATACATCCATGTATTTTTCGCCACAGACTCTCTTCGAACAGCTGACAACTGTTTAACTGAATAGCTCGTTTGTACAATGCAACACAGTGGCTTTTTGTTTAGTATACTACGAACACAGCTCCCTGCAAACTGCAAATACTGCGCCGTACGGGCCCGCGATTCGCTTCTTATCTTACGGCCACTGTAGTTGTATGTTACCCGGAAGTGGGCTATAGGCGCACCATTCGGAATGGTTCGGTTTAGTAATGTAACCAATATCCAACTACAGACTGCCAGTGGTTGGCTTGAAACCGGATGCAACATTCTGATTCACCGGAGCAAGTCAAAAAAGGTGTCCGCCACGCCCAGTGGCTTATTCGGGAATTTAAGATGCATACGTCATATCAGTGTGACCGACGGTAAAACTTATAGTGTGACGGATACGTATGATTGTTGCCCGGTCCGCAAAGGGTGCGTCTCTTGATTTTGACCTAAACCGAAGCACAAAATCCCAGCACAGTGTGTCCAGTAAGTCTGTGTGTTCCATATTTTCGGGCCAAGTTGGAGAATCCTCGGGAGCCGTAAACGTTTGACTACTACGACCAACGTTCCTGAGTGCTAGCAAGATGAAGAAGAGAAAAACGACTTTATATAACCCTGTATCAAAAGTTCAGCTGTTATTGAGAATTCATGATTTTCAT